TTTCATATCGTAGCTCAAAAGTGTTAATGAATTTTTAAACAAGAATCTGCTTAAATGTCTTTCTATTGGCTCTTGGGCTTATAATATTATAATTACAATTTAAGATCTCGCCATTAAGTAAAATGTTAATAATGGCGAAATTTGTGTCAATTTATTATTAATATAAAAATTTACATAGACATTATACTTTACAAAATCGACGTAATCTCAGTGGACATTCAATAAATAAATATTTTTTTGTATCAAATGGCTGGCGTTTTAATAGTTATCAAGAGCCCTTTAGCTGACTTCAGGCTTCATAGAGGGGAAGGAACATCAAGGTGAAAAAAGTGGAGAGGGAGGAATAGAAGAGTATTTTAAAGATATAAAAGACAGACACATAGATGAAAAGGGTGAAGTGAGTACCGTGAAAGTAGTTGAATATGACATGCAATGGGGTCATGGTAGTTTGAAGTCAGAAGTCACCTGCAGGTTGATAGACTTTTTTGCTGTATGAGCATACGTTGGCCAGAGTTCATCACGTGAAGGTAAGTCTATCGCACACTACAAATTAAATAAATATAAATACCCGAAGTATTTAAATTTCTATTAGCGTATTTCAGTTGAATAAAATGTCCCCTCGTAGATTGGATACACATTTCTGCTTGATAAATATTCAGTATAACTTTTGAAGGCGTCTTGTACGACGTGTTTCAGTTCACAAACTCAAGCCTACCGACATTAATTTGTGCAATTGATAAATTGAAATCTTCAATTTTAAAGTTAACATTTTTGTGAACGATTTGGTTTTCTTAAATTTTTGCTTGTGCACTTTGCACCCAGAATACGAATCCAACTACGCGTAGATTTTATCAGACCTCGTTTGAAGCCTGCGCGCTATAATTACCAATTATCAATAACATGAAATAGGGAAACTTGAAATAGTTATAGTTCTCGATGACCAAAAAATGATAGAATAGCCAATTTTAGTGAAGAGGAGAGTAGGGAGGTGGGTGCAATTAGAGACATCGAAATAGTTTCACCTCATCGAAATTCAAATTCTACTCATTTTTCCGCTTTCAGTCGTCTGGCCAGGGTGAAACATCCTAACTGAAGCACAAGTAAAGTGTTCCTTTTCCGATGAGAAAGCTTTGGCCAAGGTAAAAATTACATAAATGAGGTGTCTTGTCTTGCACACGGTCCAAAGGGCATTCCTCGAGTTATATAGAATACATATGCCCAAACTGTCATACTTTTCGGAAATGACTACCTCTGCAGAGGATGATATGATACCTTCTTAAATGTCTTATTGGAAAAGGGCTTAGATTGAATTCGGGTTCCTAAGTGAACCTCCTGATTGCCTCAGTTGACCTCTGGATAATGAGGTTATCCTATTTATTTATTTATATCAAATGGCAGGCGTTATGATAGTTATCATTAGCCCTTTAGCTGACTTCAGGCTTCACAGAGGGAATGGAACATCAAAGTGAAAAAAAGTCGAGAGGGGGGAGGAGGAAGAGAAGAACGTTTCAAAGGTGTAAAATAGACAGACACAAAGGCAGAGAAAAGGTGAGGTGAGTACTATGGAAGTGGTAGAATGTGACATACAATGGGGTCTTGGTAGTTAGAAGTGAGAAGTTAACTGCCGATTAATAGACTTTTTTGCCGTATAAGCATACGTTGCCCAGGGTGCTCCACGTGTAGGTAAGTCTATCGCGCACCCCATGAGGTTATCCTCTATTGGTCAAAATGCATGGCACGCAGAATTGACTTCTTGCCAGACCTCTAAAAAGGTAAATTTAGTTGTCAGCCAACCTTTTTTCAATTGCACCGGTCCTCACGTTTGACGACCAATGGGCTTTTATTTTTTATTAGCCGTAGTGAAATTAATGATTAATTAATTATATAATCATAGGTATATACTTTTATAAGAATCCATGAATACACGTTTATAATCGTGTTTGCAAAGGTTAGTTGCCAAATAATTCGACAATATGTTTATTGAAATATTTCTAATATAAGGTCCTAAAGTACTTCTGAAAAGAGCATAAATGAATGTGAACTAAGCTAGAATAAATTAATGATTCAGAAACTCCACAAAACATACATTGTTTTCTTTGAGTTGTTTTTTCATTAAAAAAATTAAGTCAAATACATATAGTAATTTTAACCTTAAAGAGTTGGAGAAAGTTCAAATTCTTTTCCATTCACAAAAAATATTAATCACAGTGGACATCGCAATTGACCTAAAGCTATGCGTGCTGACATTTTTAGGAGGAAAATTGCATTCACAGGGTGCCTACGTTTCTCGCTTTCTCTACTTAATCGCATAGTTCAAGGTTCAAAATACACATTGAGTCAGCGTGTACACTACATTAATTAATAAAAGAATTTATCGCTAAATCTGATTCAAATTAAGAAATAATATATCTGTCGAAATTATTGACACAAAGTAAAGAGATTATAGCCATTGGAATTTTTTTATAATTTGATCTAATCCACTAGCTCGCGAGAGTTAGACAAGTCCAGGTGCTAACCACACACTTGCGTTTAACTGACCAGTTATAATGAGAGGCTAAATTGAGGTTAGTTTGGCCCCTATGGCTGCTGTGTGCAGTTTGCTTCTCTTGTTAAGTCCACCATTTGTCGCTTTGGCGTTTTGCCAAAGAAGATTGAGCCAATCACTCCTCAGAATCACGTGATATGTCACACTATGATTGACCCGACAACGGTCAAATTAGAGATTAGTGATTAGGCAATCTCAGGCCGCAACATGGCGATGAGGTGTAGTGAACTTCTGGTGCATGCTGATTCATATAAATTAAATAATAAAACGTCTTGTCATTTGGGAATGACTAAACAGGTAAACATAATAACATCGGCCAACCAACCGTGAATAGTAAGGTGTTCCTAAATTATACATACTGAGATAAAGATAAAAAAAATAAACAATGTAAAATGTTTTCTTAAAAAGCAGGTTAATAAACTGTACCGACAAGAATTTGTAAGCGTCCACATTAAGTAAAAAAAGTAATTGAACCAATACGTTTGCTTCAGCATAACTATTGTGTTAGCTATGAAAGTTATCAAAAGTACTTAATTATTAGACACATAACACTTTTACTAGTAATTACAAGATGCCTATACTACTAATATGAATTCAGTACACTGTAGATAATGGAGTATATATGGAGCATTTTGCAATGGAAAGCAATATTGAGAGGAAATCAATTTTAAACCAGTTAGAATTATATCGATATTCTCATTTTTTTCCGAGGTGCTTAAAAATATAAGGATCGTTATATATACCCGAATTTCACTTTCAATTAGTGACAAATTAGTCATTTCTTGTGTCCAACCTTCTGGATGATATGCATTTTTCAGTAGATCATAAATTTCGAATAATTAAGAGGCAGTATTCAAATGACACACAAACGAAATTTACTTGCGCCCAAGATAAAACCACTTTGAATAGGTCAAGATTTATACGTAGAGATTATACGGCTTAGAGGAAAAATTCGCAAATTTTCACATCGAGATATCTACTGTAGACATTTGTGATCGATAGTACAACGTGGATGCATTAAAATAAAACGTGCCAAAGTGCTTGAACATTTCTTCGTTAAGTAATAAAGTAAAAAAATGTCTGAGGAACAAGAAAAGACATCTATTGCCTCTGAAATAGTGGATGAAACTGCTAACGAAGAAAACGAGGAGGAGAAACTCGAAGAAAACGAGGAGGAACTTGAAGAAAACGAGGAGAAACTTGAAGAAAACGAAGACACTGTGGAAGTGGAAAAAGAAGACCCTGACGAAACTGAAAAAAATGTTCCTGAAACATCCCAAATCAATGATCTTAACAATCCCGAGCTTTTACCAAACATGACCCCTGCACTTCTTCGACAGACAATCGCAGATGAGTTGGAACGTCTGAAAAATATGAAACCAGCAGAATTTGTGGAACGATTGGAAGAGTTGAAGAATTTGCATAAACATATTTATGAAGCTGCCGAAAAATTTATCAAAGAGGTTGTGGAACAGGTTCCAACTCTCACACCTATTTTTAAACTCGTGAGCGAATTTGATCAGAAAGCTTGCGATAAAGCACTGGAAACTACGCTTGATGACTGGGAAAATGCTGGCATCACGTCAGAAGGTAACCTCATCTGTTATATATTAGTAGTATTATTGCCGCAAATATGTGACAAAACGTGAGGGTTACGACTTTTACAGTAATAAAAGAGTTAATTTTTCACATTTCAGGCAAAGGATACCAGTGTAGGCTGTTTTGCCGGCGCTTTAATTCAGTGTGATATTCCAGTTGGACAGTTCGCTGTTGTAAAAACAAATAGTTATTCATTTTGTAATAATCAAATTTCTAGAAACCACTGATTTTCCAATATGTAGTACGCTTTGATAATATTTTGCCGAGTTGTTGGTCTTTATTTCCTAAAGCGTTTCCTCCCCTTAATCAGCTTCTGCAGAGCTTTATTCCCTACAATGAATAGAGGAGAATAGAAGGGCGTAAAAGATCCAAGGCATTTGTTAATTTAATGGAGATCATTCATTTCAATTCGGCCTATACTTGAAGGTCAGTCCACCGTGGTTCGTGTGACAGATTTTGCTTTGTCAAGGTCAGCGTGTGGATACAGCAACAGGAATAATGGATGACTTGGTGGTCATTCATATCAAGTGCTCACACGACTCCACTGCTTTACTTTTGTTGGCCTCATGCCAAATAACACAGCAATTATATTAATTTTGACAGTTTAGAAATTCAAGTTATTTATTGTTTTACCAACTCACATACCTCAACCATAGCGCATGGAGAGTAGTCCAATTTTTCATTAAAGACTGAACAAGAAGGATAATATCTGTTAAACAGGAACGATGGTGTGTTGGCAAATGCGTTTGAAACATGGAAGTTAAAGGACCTTTTAACTATGATTTACTATTGAAATTTCGCAAAACACTTCACTTAGCAAATAGTTCTAAGGTAGCGGATAGGATTTTTCTAATTCTTAGGGGTATATTAATTTTCAATCAGATGTTTTATGATCTTCTCACTACTACGTCGCCATACTGTTATTTTTTGAAGAGTGTGGCTTTCAATAATAAAACTGTGTTTCACCACAACGTCCATTGATAAAATGCTCGAAATATCCTGTTTTATAGACCGTGAGGGAATAATGAATAGTCTCAAAGAAAGAATGGTAGAAGCAGCCAAAATCAATTTCGATTTCACCCATCAAGTAAGTTATATTGCGTCACCGTTGACTGTCTGGCGATTGGCTGCTTGTACTGCTATCTGGGCAGGTCACAAAGAATTGAAAATGGCCTATGAAAAAGCCAAATTTAATTTTGAAGATACTGAATCTCTAATATCTGGAAGCGATGATAAAGAAGATGCTGATTTAGCGGACAATACCGTAAAGGAAGATGGCCCTGATTTTGATGCATTGGAAGAGGGTCAGGAACAGGAGAATGAATTGGACGAAGCTGAGAAAGAGAGGGTAGATGCAGAAATTGAAATTGAGGGTCAGCTGAATGCGGAAGAAATAGCATTGTCAGAGAGACCAGCCCCTAAAGATTGGGTGAAATATTTGTAGGTGGATTTACGATTATTATTAGTATACAAACCTAATCACTAATTAATTATCTTCATGCATTTTAAGCTATACTACTCGAGAAGGTAATGAGGAGCGTGTAATCTGCTACGTTCGGGCACCACCAGATTGCTTGACCAGTGAGGATCGTTTGATATGTACCTTCGGCAACTCCGATGCAGAATGGCCCAATCTCCCTGGTAATGCCGAGGTTATCGGTCATTTCGTTTGCATTAGACCAAAACATCCTAAACTCATTTGCATCCTAGTAAGTAGACAGCGCAATCAGCTTTAAAGGGTTTACCTAATCATTAAACGATAAGCCATTACGCCTATAGCCTGATGAACCCTGGATAATTGGTATTCCCCATAACTACGGCAAAAATCCTACCAGAGAGGTAGTGGTCTACTCGATGGAGTCAAGCGATACAGGAATTGACAACAGGTTATCAAAAAGGGTTCTTAATGATAACGCAAGTCTGAATAAGTTATTCTTTAATTTACAAACTCTTCTGAAATCAAATAAAAAATAGATCGGCTTTTACAGGATGATTTAGAACCTCCTCAAACTATGTGGTTGGATATGCCGACAACTGATGTAACTGTCGAGAATGGTCATTACCTTGAATTCAGACTATCACGTCTCGCTGTGCCCCTGACCTTTGCTCCAGCTGTGAGAATTCGTCGAGATATTGGAGAAATTGGCAAACCAGGTGGGAAGATAACATCTTTGGTGGACAAAAGGGTAACACTTTATATTCCTCCTGGAGGACTGAAAATCGACTGTACTTATTCAATACAAGTAGCAACCATATTGATCATTTTTTTCTCTAGCCATTACTTCTATGTTTCCACTCGTGTTTCTTCCCTAGGTCCAGCCCATAAGTCAGCATCATGCTCACATACTGCGCGACCAAAATTGGTCATTGATGTCTCAGTTCACATCCTGCAGTGCCATAGTCACTCTCAGTAAATTCGCTTATTTCTTTTCAATACTGTAAATGCACCACTCATGACTTTTGCGTTACATTAATCTTAACAGCTGGACCGAAAAAGATTCTTTTTGAAAATGCGATAATCACACTGCCCCTAACTGAATCCAATCCAACGAATCAAGTTGCCATTTTGTCGAATGCCTCAATGCCGGAAGCTTTTTATGGGCGCAATAAGACGGATAGCTCCGAAGAGAATAGTGAAGAAAAGGGTAAGTAATATTTTACCGAACGGTTGGAACGCAGATTAATGTCCATGTACGGTTATTCAGATTTCGTGAAATTGAAGCTTATTTATTGACGCTCATTAAGACGGATGATCGGTTGCACTGATTTGTTATGATAGGACGTGGATCTCATAAAAGAGCGTATTTGGGAACATTTTTAGTTACTCTTGTTAAGTACAGTTAGCGCTTTACTTCTATGAAAACAATGGATCACTTCCTTGAAATGGGAATCTAGCCGAATTAGACTAACTGAACCACGTTTAGCTCATTTAAAATCAAGTATTTTCTAAGTGGTACTCTCCTTTAAGGTGCGCTTTGAAGAAAAAGTTCATATATTTTAATATTCAACTGGAGATTCGGTCTTATAATCAGATATAGTAGGATTTGTATCAATGACTGGAGCTGTGAACGGCACCATTGATTTAAGCTTGACTAAAATCAAAATGTCATTGCAGTAAAAGACCCTTTCGAGATTAAATCAATTTGGATATTTTAAAGCTGAATTTTATACTTTTCGGCATCTACAGAAACGAATGAAGAGGATAAGGAAGAGGAAAGTGAAGGTATTGCCAGCAGCAGCGAATTGGACGCCTTTCAAGCTTCGCTTTTCCTTCCAAAACTCCTTGCCGGATCTAATTCTGGTCATTCTGCGGTGAATTTAATGTGGGCTGGTCTAGAAGATTCCGACTGGCAGATATGGAAAAATGCTGAGATTTTAGATACTAAAGATAATGAGATCTACTGTTTTAGCATAAATCGCATCGTTCCTCGAAAGTTAGTTACCAGTATAACTACTTCAATCAGGCCAGCGACTTCAAAATCCCTAAATGCCAAATATTTGGAAACATTTTAGATTTATGGCTATAGAGACTAGAACGGCGGTTGATAGTGAATGTTTAACCACTATGGCTCAGTTATTAGAAAGGAGCATTTCTCAGCGAATTGTCTATGCTTGCTTGAGACAGAAGAAGGAGGATCCGAGTCAAGTCTGCGTTGCTCTCTGTCTTACAGAGGATCTTGAAACGACGCTCGAACAGATGGGTGCCAAAGGCTATACTGAAGGTGCTAAGGCGATTGGGCCACTATTTGTCTATGAAAGACAGCAATTCAACATCACTTTGAAGGGCAATATTCGTCTTAAAAAGGTTAACACTGAGATGGAAAAGAATCTGAAAATGACTTTCAATTCAGCGCTGCCCAATGAATACATGGCAAGATATATCTTAATAAAGTCTAATTACCAATTTTAGATTGAGGTAGAAGAGTTTGATCCGTCAGCTCAGGTTTCCTGCCAGAATTACCGAGGTTTTGTGGAATTTTCCTATATGAATCTTGCTCGAGTCCCAAACAGAAAGGATAGAACAAAAGGAAGATTTATTACCGAACTGCAAAATGTTGTTCTGTGTCAACTTCTTATTACTCTCCCAAAAAGAGATAGTGATACAGATACTGATAAGACAATTAGTTCATATAAATTTGAAGCAAATGGTAAAATTTTTGCTTGTAAAGGTTGTTACTTAAATCACTTATAAGTAGTCTTTTAAGCTCATAGTGTTTTTTAGATGGGATAACAAACGATTCACTAAAACAAATAGCTAGTAAATTACCCGAAGACAGTTGGAGATACCTTGGATCTGCGCTAAACCTCTCCAGAACGCAACTTCAAGCTATAGGAGGTAGAGCGGAATACTCGGGAAAGAACAAAACCCTAACGATGCTGAGAAGTTGGATCAAGCATTTAGCGCTGAAGGAGGACAGAGTAAGTTCCAACGCTGCCTTTATAAAGTGGTCTTTCCTATTTTCCTTACTGATTGCATTTTGACTGCAGACAGATATTCTAAGCAGGGCACTGGCCACGATAGGTCGAACAGATTTAATTAGTACTCTCCACTCTTCTGACGTGAAAAAACAGGTAACGCCCGAATCAGGATTATCACGGAATTCACAGGCTTCTGCTGCAGTTAAAGAATAAATGTATCTACGAGTGCGTCGTTTTCCTGTCATATTGAAAATGGGTGCTAAAATATCCCTTGTAAAGCGATATTAATTACTACTTTTGAGGTTACTTCGAATTAAATTATGTACTGAAATTCATTTGAAAAAGGAGATATAGAAACCTCCTGAAATAATATTGAAATTGGAACAAGGTATCTAATATAATGCACCATTTCACCGTTCTTTAATTAACATTGCCTAAAGAAAGGGAGATGTTTTACTACTTAATTAGTTGTAAAATATCTACCGCCACTTAAAGCCCGTGATCTACTGCTGACTCAATCACGTGACTCATTTAATCAAACGTTGTAAAGGCGCAGTAATATAGATTATCTGCAATCCCAAACAAGGTAAATATAATAATCCTTTCACCTCGTTTTCACATCTATTTGAACATTTGAAATTCCCTTTACGTCAGGTCATATGCCTTCGAACCACTTTTAACATACGAATATCCTGTTGTGCACGTGACTGCCTTTCTGTGTGCTGCAATTTATACCTACTTTCTGATAGCACAATTATTTAAATCCCGTGTGTAGTATTATTCACTACATTCTTTTCGTGTTATTTATCCCCTTTTGAGTTTTGCTACACTAATAAGCATTGACTTACTGTCGGTAAACGCTATAGCAAGCTGTCCATGTTCGGAAGACCCAAAAATAGCTAAGCCACAGCAAAACTATAGAGGAAACAGACGTATTTCGCAGAATACGTCAAATAGGGATGCGTGTTACAGACAAGGAACTTAGTCATTATAGTACAATGAAGAGTTTGTTAAACTAAGCAAGGACTACTGGTTTGTGGCTGGCTGAGTGGCCACTGCGTTCACGTCGCAGTAGCGTAGTTACACCTTCCAGTCCGTCTGAGTGCTCATGAGCAAGTGTCACAATTAGTTAAATCATAAATAAATTAGCATAATACTTCTTTATTTGAAGGATTTAAATTATACCTAACGTCTGTATAAGTTCAAGTAACCAGAAAAAAACACTTGAAGACTAGTACTTCAAACGAATGGGATGTAGTATTCCCACTGCCTAAGGCAGCTACTCAGATCTTAGCGGTAGCAGGGCCAAATATCATTAACACGAACAATTAACCTTCAACTATCTTTTTTAACCTTTGCTGTTAGTACTTTGCATTTAAAAGCTGGTCCCAACATTGAAATATTCCAATAATTGTTTTCCACAACCCGTGGGATGTGACAAAAATGTCTATAAACCGGCAGTTGACTTTGATTTCAAACTACCAAGACCTGACTGTATGTCAAATTCGATCACTTTCAGACTAATCACCTCACCTTACCTTTTTCTCTACCTTTGTATCTGCCTCTCTTACGTATGCGAATCACACTTAAGTTCCCTCTCCCGACTTTTGTAACTTTGATGTTTCTCCCCTCTGTGGAGCCCGAAGTCAATTAAAGTTCAAATGATAACTATCACAGAGCCTACCATTTGAAGTAAGTAAACAATCCCCAACCCAATTAAGGACAGCGATTGCCAGTGCAATTGGCCGATGAGAATCCATCCCACGATCGCTGGCATTGCAGTTAGGGAAGGAAGATAGTATCCTTGCCACCTTTGATCGCCTTTCCCGAAAAGATAGATTTTCAAAGTCTAGCCAGACCTTTGTGCAGAAGAAAACTTTTTTGGATGAAAGGTCTTGGCAGTCTTTCCACCAACGTAAGCCTGCTTATTCAATGAACCGACATGATTCTTCCATTAGATATACGATTCCTCCGTCTTAAAATTACCCAATAACTTAAGACATTCCCAAAAACGTGATATTAAATATTGCTATGATTCCATCATGAAACAGTAAGGGTGAGCTAACTCTAAGATGGCATTTCCACATAAGCAAATGATACTACCGTATCACCCAATTCAGCACACCGGTTCAGAAAAAGTCACCAACCAAAAAAGTAAAAAATTCGTCAAACAGGACATATTCCCCAAACTACTTTTTTTTCCAGCTCACAAACACATCTGTAAGGAAAGTATTTCAAGGAAATGGGAATGTCGCTTTACACACAGATAAGGTTAGGTGAATACCGAAATCAAGGGGGGAGAAATTGCAGTCAAGGGGAGGTATGGTAACCAGAAAGTTAGAGGTTCGATAAATAAAAGAGAGCTGAACAGGGAATGAGGTGGGGAGAAAAGTCGCAATACTTGGTTTGGAAATGGATGGAAATGGTAGGTGGTGTTGGCGGAAAACCCGCATATTAGCCGTACTTTTCCTGCAAGACAGAAAAGAAATCAACGATTAGCAGATGGATAAAATTGGGAATAAAAAAAGTGCTAAAGCATGATAGTTAATAAGAAAACTACAAAAAACTCTCTTCAAATATTCATCTTAGATCTAGAATATCTGCAAACATTACGATATCAAAACAGACAAAACGCATCAAACCAGTAAGTAAATAGGGGAAGAAAAAGGCGTGTCTAAATACTAGTGCTCTACAGACAAAATACGGATACTTATTTTTTTCAGCATACATTAACGATCAAAGTATGGCCGTTTAAACAAACGCGATCTGTCATGGTAACCCCACTGAATGGAATATAAATAAGTTAATTTAAATATAAAGCCAAATAATAAAAGAGTCTGTGTTAAATACAAAAGAGTAAAATCAAATAAGTAGATTACCTGAAGTTGAGTCATGAAGTCGTTTGCGATAGCAGAAAGACGGGTAGCAACTTTAGTGACACCTTCTCGGACGCCTTCCTTGATGCTACTTAATTCAGATGAGTAATCAGTTTGATACTTAGGTTGTGGGCGACCGAAGTACTCGTCACTCGAGAGGGCTGTACGTCCTTCAAATCGTGATGCGTCAAAATCAGAGTCCTAAAGTAAACACCATATGCAAAGGAAAGTTATCTATGAGTTAAAACAAGTGGTAGGTAAGAGTAACAAATTTAAATTTATTTCTCCCAATATCAAGTCCTATCTTCAATTATTCACAGATCCACAAAGCAGTAATCACCCTATATTAAACTGACTTGTTGTGCATTATAATAAAACAGAAATAGTCAAATATATTCTAATATAATTAACCCACCTGATTGTCAAAGTCGAAATCTGCAGAGGATATCGATTTGGCATTTTTTAACTTCTCCATCAACGCGTCAGGTATTGAAGAAGGCTCTGAGGTTGAAGCTGAGGCTTTAACGGAAGAACTTGAATATCCAGAACTGGATCTCGGTTCACCAAAATTGTTGGTGGGAGGGTAGCGTGAGTGGCTAGATTTCGAATCGCCGCCAGCAGCACGTGTCTTGAAAGGGTCCGCTCCCCAGCCATCGGAAATATCACATGGAATGTTAGAAGCAGCAGCCCCACGCGAAAGATTGATCCAGTCACCAAATTGTCTTTCTGATTCCCCTATACATTAAGAAAGCATGCAAAACCAGCTAAGTACTTCGGATAGCAAATGACAGATTAAACCAAAATCTCTTTACATGCTTTTATTACGGTTTTAAAGGTGATTATTAATATAATTAAGGATTCAATCCCATTAAGATTAGTGTCGCCAATACAAAGTCAGGAAAGGGGGAAGGCTAGAATAATACTACCCTCCTGTTGAGGAGCAGTAACCAATGCGGTTGGGCATTCCATCACCAGGTGCGTAAAGATACGCATAAAGATTCTAACCTCCGACTTGACAAATATGAACACGGATTACGGCACAACCGGAACGTACAAAATACTTGAACCCAAAAATATTTTTTTCTGGGACCAATTTCTTGGATAACCAGTGTGTGTGTAAGGTTAACTCAGAAAATTGATTTCGAATAAGTTGTTTAAATGACCCTATCTAGCCGATCACTGCCGAAAATCCCAGCCGCGGTGCTTTCTATAACAACTAATACAAGTTTACCCAGTTATTCGTTAAAATTTATTCCTATTCCCAAAATCAACGTAAGTCTTGTCCTTAAATGAGAATGGATCTAACGAGCTCATGATAAAGCGCCAATTTCTTAAATCAAATTTCGTCTGCTTCCTCTAACAGCTATGGGTTTGAATGGCTCCATGCAAATAAGGCAATTACTGGCGATGGAAGACATGCATGATGTGATTGATGACAAAGCGTTATTGAAGAAAACGTCAGTTTAATGAAAGCAATTAAGAGTGGAATAATCGAGGTGAGTACGAACCGGAACAACTCCTTATTACTAAGCTATCATTAAAAAGAGGATGAAAGCGTCACCATATTGTACTTACGGGAGAAAGCGAGATCATCAGAATCGAATTTACCTTTCGATTCACGTAATTCACCTGAATCTTCGCGTTCAATAGTCTTCAGGTCGCTTATAGCCGAGTGTCCAATAGCCCTATAATACAAAGATTAAAACATTTAAAATAATTTTAAGATAACGATTTTCCACGCCTAAAAACCATGAACTCATATTAATTCCGTGATGTTAAACCTAACCATTAGGCAAATCTAGAAGGCAATATAATTACCAAAGGAAATTTCTGGTCAAAGAGCAATGAATTGCCACTGGTAATCCATTTTATTCTAATTGTTCCGATTTCTTTTTGTGATTTTACAACATAAATTATAATGGGCCAACACCCATCCTGGGGAGATGAAGGACAGCCTGTAATCGTTAAGTGGTACATTTCTGCTAAGATCGATATTCTATTAGCGGAGGGTGTTGAAGTAGTTCACATTTATACTTGTCGGAACAGTTTATCAATTTCTATCATTTTGTATATTTAAACTGGCGGCAGAACGAATAGTGCTAAGATAACAAAAATTGAAAACAAATTGATGGAAAAGAGAATAAGGAGCTTACTTTGCTCGGCCACCACCAATACCCATACCAAGACGCTCAAATTGCTCAGCTCGTTGTTGAGATATATTGTGAGGGACTTGCGCCTTTGATTTGGCCACGTCCACTGTCTCTTGATAAGCCAATCGAAGGGAAGCACTGCGCAAGGAGAAAAATTAAATATATAAGAAGCAGAAAATAACTTCAAAACCCATTTTGGTAAATTTTAGAGAGTGGCACCGCCGAGTCTCTCTGGTGAGAAATTTAAGAGTTGACAGCTACGGTAAAGACCATTCATTCTGTTAACTGAGTGTGCAACGATGGTGATCGAACCAGTGACCGGTAAGAGTACAATTTTCTCTAATCTCATGACTCAATAGCTCTTTTTAAATTATCAAATATCCTCCACCATACTATAAAAGCACAGCCATTTAACAAAGACTACGCTTCACTCTCCCAAGCGTCTCTGTCTACTGCGTATCAAGTCAAGTCTCACTTTTCCAACTTACAATCTCTCGGCCTCAGTTTCAACGGAAATATCTTCAGGCTTGGGCTGGCTACTAACGGAAGTTGCCGCTTTTTGCATTTGTAGACGCTGTTGTTGCTGTTGACGTTCAGCTTCTGCAGCAGCGGCTTCAATTGCTCCAAAATCGGCCTTTACTTTAGTGGCTCCACCAAAACCACCCCCACGTTTCTTCAATGGCTTTGTTGCACCGAGCTAGAAGACAAAAGGGGTTAAAGAGGATTTGGGTTTCAGAAATGAAAATGATCGAAATGGGACTGACGAATTTCGACAAAGCGACGACATTTTGGACATTAGGAATCTTGGAATGAATTGTACCTAAGTGTCTCCAAAGAAATGAAATAGTATGTGCTAAATGTAAGGTGGAAAAGCGTATCCACCATTAGAAAAAATATAACGAAAAAACCAATCTGTTTTGATTAAATAAGACCGGAATATAAATTTCGAAGCCTTGACTGGCTATTCTGAAAATACTATACAATCTAAATTCCAGAAAATTAAATTAAGAAGGACAATTCGATACTCTGAGACATTGATCTCAACATCTTTTCGATCCCCTTCCTCCCCTATTTAATCACTTATTGGGGGCTTTCATTTAATTGGTTTTAGTTAATTTCATCAAAAAAGACGAGGAAAATTTTTCGTTATACCATAGGTAAGAGAACCGATATAAACTGAATTAATGCAATAGCCAAATTGTGGTATAAAATTTTTAAATTAAACATTGCTAAATTTCCTGTTTGATATGAATAGGCCCAATTAAAATATAAACTAACAAAGAACAGTTCATATAATAATTGATTAATGATTTGAATGTTACATTATGCATAACAATGAAAACCATTGAGTTTAGTAAAGTAACTAGACGAAGATAAATGGTCAATCTCTCATGAAGAGGATGTAAGATATCATAAACGCCAACATTTCATGACTGTAGAAACGAATGTCATCAATCATAGGAATCATTAAACGAGAGTTTCTGCAAAAACTTTAAGAAACAGGTTGGAGGAGGTAGTCCTGTCCTATACACATATAAAATCGATAAAGTCAAAACACCAAAAGTACATTTTGGTAATATATCAACATAGACCTCAGCATGACTTCTGATTATTTTCTCTTATCTAATTCAAAAGCTGATTACCACGAAAAGATAATTATAGCGGTAGATGAAAAAAGGGCCAAATGACTGCGTCAACTGAACTAAATAACGGTGGACGAAGGTAACTTTGGGGATAAGCGCCCAAGTAAACAAGTAAACCTAGAATTTGACAAGTAAAAGGGAGTGATAACTTAAAGGAAAGCAATAAATATCCTCAAGTAACCAAGAGATTGCGAAACGAACAAGAACTTCCGTACAAAAAATCATTCAACTACAAGCACCTTGCTTCCCTAGTTTATAAAAATATGCAAAATTAAACAGACTAAGGAAGTAAAAACTTCGAAAAAGTACTGCTAAACATCATAAAAGCTCGTTAATAGCGGTCATAAAAAGCAAGCACACATACAGAATAGAGCGAAGTCATAATTAAATAGCAACAATCAAAAAGGTTCTACATACTTAAGCACGGGAGAATATAATCGATTGACAAAGTAAGAGGCTTCAGATTCACTATGGCAATCCCGATAAGCAAAAAAAGCAAATGATGTAAACATGAAGATGCGATAGCAAGATAGCCACTTAAAAGTAGCAATTAAACGCCATGAGACAATTCAGAAGATAAAATAGTGCAATTAATATATTTCAGCTTTAATAAGAATAAAAGAACATCTATCAGTCAGACAACCAATAATTTGTACAAAATGCACCATATGGAATATTATTAAGAAAAAGTCAAAGGAAATTCCAACTTACGCCACCCTTCTTTGGCTTCGTCACCGCCTTTTGATTATCAGAATCAAATGACGTCGAGTTCTGAGTAAAACCAGCCATAGAACTTGCCTTGGAGTCTAAAAACAAGTACCAATGATGTAATGCCAAAACAGAATTTCAGCTCACCACCAAGATCGACAAGAGGATCCTCAGAACGTACAGATGTAGATAAATTCATACCGGTAAAATCCTCATTGCTGGGCTTTGTGTGCTGCTCAAAGAAATCGACTTGCTTTTCTGAAACAACTGATTTTTCTTCAATATCGAGAGAAAGCCGAGTTCCTAATGTTACCATCGCTTCATGGGTTAACTTTTCAATTCTAGTTTTATATAATCGAGCAGCTCTACTGTTGTATTTTTGCTTAATATCACTCAACATGCAGCCATGCTGTTGGAAAAAGGCAGTCTAAAGGAAATAACGGAAAATTTAAACATACCGCCTTGGCATTTCCCCCAACTTGCATAGCTCGAAGTTGAGCCCACGTCCAGCTGGTATCCAACTGAGTTGATCTAATAAAACTCAAATGAACACCTAAGGATCGATGTACAGCTGAGCAATCAATGCAAACAAAGACACCATAGGTAACACTGGCCCAGGTCGGATTGCTTGAGGAACAATCAAAACAGGTCTAGAAAAATTAGCGGCATGCAAACAACATACCTTGTTTTCTGTTTTGAAAATTAGTGAGGAAAGGACGGCATCTATTTCATCCTTGGTGGGGGGATTCATTACTCTACCGGTTCAGTTGACGTGTATTGGTCGCAAGAAATCAACGATTTGCGCGGCTCTATTTTGACGATTATAACATAAAAGCAAAAGCTTATTGTTTTATAAAATAGATTTGTACTAAACAAACATTTCGATTGACAATATTTTAATCGTCAGATTTTACTTAATTCAGTTATTTTAATAAGTAGTATACTCACGATTATATTGCTTCGATTATAAGCACCAACGCTTTCTTGACATTCGATCAGCGTTTTTACATCTTAACTAATAGTTTTAATTGGAATACGTTTGCTTTACGAAGTCATATTTAAATCACTTTTTGTAATGAATATTATTTTAGCGATGTATGAGGTGTGATTATACAGTTTTAGTTTTAGCCGCGTAGGTGGACCATAATGAGTGGAATTCCATTTCACGTTATCCACCAAAGCTCATTTCGTAAGGAAGTTTGTTTAATTAGGTAAATATACTGTCAATCATAGTTTAATATTGCTTAAGTTTTATAAGAACATCTATCGAAATACATGTTACCTAACCTTAAAAATTATTTTCGAGACTCAATCTTCTACATCGCATTTGACTAAAATAATTCGTAATAGGTCATCAATGCAGTCTAGCTAAACACTAGTTGAACGCATTTACGAGTGTGCCTGTAAAACAGCCACACGATTCACTTACAACCCTCTCATGTACATTCGTCGCTTTACACAAGCTCATATTTTCCATCCCTCAACTAGCTCTTTATTATCTCTTTTTCGAATTCCGGAATCTAAGGATTAATACTCCGCCAATCTTTGTACTTTACGTTTCGGTAATCTTCATAGCAATCTCGAACTTCCGGCATATTTTTCATTTTTATTTGAAATAATGTTTATCGACTTCTATTAAGCTGCATCTTACCACGTTAACAATGTGTTGCCTATACATGATATCTCCGGTGTTATAAACAGCACCTATACACATATTGTGGTCTACTTCAGTTTCAGTTTCATATAATATTTAAAGTTCATGTTTGCTAATCTAAGTCTAAAATATGTTCAAATAATTCCTGAATACATTGATGATGGGTAATTTCCCACGTATTCTTTATTATTCGTATGTGATGACCAGTGAAATTCTATGTATTGTATATTTGGTAGTTACATTTTTAGCTTAATTAAAAGAACTATTTTCGAGATTTATCTGCTGGCTACATAACTTTAAAAACGAGATCAATGTATTCTTAGATTAATAAACCAATAACGATAAGTAGGGTTAATATGAAGTGGTATTAGGTCTATTTGATGCATGAACGGCTTTGGTGAAGCTCAAGGACCACAAGGAAAACGAAGTGAATATTTTAATCTACGACAAAATTTCTATTTGAGACATAAAGACTATTATATGGTCTCAATCTATCCATGTTTGGCTTTACTGTGATCAGCCCTGGTGCACGCACTTAGTCTTGGGCTAATAGTTATTCATCGGGACAGGGTCTTTGAATTAGCTTCGATTATGCTTAGACCAACTGACTGAGCCAGAAAAGGAAATTATCTCGCCCAAATAACTTATATCTTCTTTCTCATTCTAATAATACCTTCAAACATTCTTCCATTAATTGGAGGTACCTATGACCAATCGTGCGGCTTGTAATGAAAATGAATTTTCTTGTAGTCTTTTCTAGTACAGTCAAACTTTTCAAGGAGTTATATTAAGTTTTATTCTATCAAAGGAAACACACAATACCATTTTTTAAAAGGCTAACCTCATATATTATTCCGTGATTTATCCCACAATAATATTCCATATAGAGGTAGCCTTTTCCATAAATTTGTATGAAGAAAGTAAGGTTAAGAAGAAATTTTATACATTGAGGAATTACTCCTTACATGTTTCTCACAGCCATTTTTGACCAAATGTTAATTTTAATTCATGTTTGCACAAGGCTATTTTTGTTGTTTCAATGACTGCTTAAATAGTGCGCAGTCAGTGTATTGCAGTCCAAAAAATGAGTGGTTGGACAATTTTATCAACTTGCCTTACTTCTTGCTATGTCTTCCTTTCTTAGGTTGCCCTATTCACGTCAATTTTAAAGAAAAAAACTGTAAAAGCGTCTGCTTTTCATGTTTTATTCCAATTCCTTTTTATTTTAAATTTTCTGATCTACTGTTATCTCTCTTTCGAATTTTGATAATGCTGTTCGAAAGAACTGGGGCATCTCTTGGAGCCATCATCAGAAAGATATGGTTACCTGTTTTGGATAGCAGTTGTAACAATAGTCTATGGCCGTTTATAGGCCATACTCTAGCTTTTACACACCAACAAAACGTCTAAGCTAGGAGGCCATTTCAATAAATGATGGAACACATACTGAATGCGCCGTTTTAAAATTCTCCTCGAACTATTGAATAAACCCATTGAACGATTTTTTGAAGACCAGAAAGTAACTTAAAATTCACGTGCCTCACGCATATGACTATGAATGCCAGTATCATTGAAACCCCTTTCGAAAATGATATTTTTGAGAGACTACCAAGCATGGCATTTGACTTCACTTTGTTTTCCCCGTGGACCGATCCTTCAGATGGTCGACCCGTTCAAATCCCCTTATGCATCGGTGCGCTAATACTTTGCCTTAGAGAAATTCAGGAGCAGGAACTGAAACAAGGTTATAGCTTTCTAGATGATTTCAGCTGGTCAAATCCTCATAATCCACCAAATCTTCAAAGAGATGTAGAAGATCTGAAGGGATGGCTTTTCAATAACGCAACCACATACCCATTTTGTCGAGATTATCTGCTGACTAAAAGTTCTCGTCTTCTGTTCGAAACTACTCTGGCTATTCTTAGACTGACTGCAAGTCAAATTTATCCACTTTCAACCAAAACGTGCAGAATTCTGCATTACCTCTCCCTTCTTGAACCTACCCATCCATATCAGATGTATCTTGATGAAGTCTTATTTGACAAAGCAACAGATTCAATACTGCAAGATAATGAGGGGTGCCTATCTGATATTTCCACATTTATTCATCAAACTTATTCTTGCGAAGAGAGTTCCCGTCTAGATAGGCTTAAACTGTCAAAAATGTTTAGTCGGCATTTATTCCATGATCTTCATATGGTGAAAAGGAATAAAACCAGAAATATCATTCGATTTATCATGCGATCAATGATGTTCATTGTACGACGTTATATCTTCCAAGTCTCTGCCCGAATTCGTGCGGCAAGAGGTGAAAGTTGGAAAGTGAATCATGTCACAATGCATCCACATATTAATGAGTTTGCTATCTCAACAATCGCTAATCAGCTGGGGCCAATTATTTTCCGTTTTCCAAAATTTGTTACTCAAACTCGGGAAATGGCAGTTCGGGCAATGGTTAATATTCTTTGTTCAAACACTGAACGACTGTGGATACCCGGCCAGACGTTTTCTAAGGTTAACATTGAAACCACTGTCGTGAAATGTCACTCAGGCTGTATTTGTCTTAATGGTGCTTGATTTCATGATGTAATTGCAAGAAATGAAATTTCCATTCTACTGTTTTAAATTAAATAACACTCATTTTTCCCAAAAAGGAAATAATATGAAATAAACAATATTTAGAGTGAATTATCCACCATATTCTTGTTGGATCAGTTTCTTATCAGAAGGTTTCATCATGAATTTTTAGATAAACATAATTAAAAGTGGCGGCATTTACGAATAGAATAGTTTGTTAAATTGTACCCCAAGTTTCAAAATGTGGAGCGAGTGTGTAACAGAATGCTAAATTAATAAGCCTTGACTACACTCAGAAATCTTCATGTCGGGTTCTCCTATGTTTGGAAAGGCTCTCAGAACTATCTAAGCTACCGCAAAGCTATAGAGTAAACAGACATATCATATGGAACACATTTACTTGGGGTGTGTGTGAGTAGGTGTGCGCACAGACCATGAGTTTTGCCCTTATAATTATATGGCTGGTTTGATTGGCGGTTGACAGAGTATTTCCGCATTCACGACTGCACTTACTTCCAACACGAAGTTGAATGCCTCACCTTAAATTCTGCCTGGGAGCGCATGAGACTACTTGTCCAGCTATGACAACGTTAGGTACCCCACAAGTGTGCCTGAGGCATAACGACTGTGCGATCACCTAATAATGGTCAAATTTTGCATTTCATTGATTAACCTTTTGAAATAGACTGTAAAAGTCTGCTTATGTTAAGTTGATAGGTCTTTATTAAAAAAAGGAATCTGAAAAAATATACATTCCCAAATTGCACTTTTATGAAAATGCAAAATTTTTGTATGTATAGTTCTTATTGGTCTAGAAGTCCTCACTGGTGGTTGGGTTCGAAAACAGTGATCTAGCTCACACTACAACATTTTTTTGTTTTCCTCAATTTTGTCGCTGCTCCCCTCCATTGTTTCCATCCACATTATATTGAGATATTTGTTTGGGAAAGAAGGAAGAGGAATCAGCGTTATTGGTTTATTTAAACATAGACATTCCAGTCCAACCCAAATAATCAACTGACATTTCGTTTCATTTTCCTTAATTGTCGTATGCTCTCTATTAACTGTCTCTCTCTGGTGCAACACGAACCAGAAGAGCTTAGGGTTAAGTTAATTATGGAGGTCCGTTACAGCAACTCAAAGGCAATGCCTACGTGTTGAACCATTGAGCACAACTTCTTTACAAAGATAAGCGAGGATAAGTTAATCAAATCCACTAAGATGGAGATAATTTGAAGTGGAATTATTTGTTAAGATATCCGAGACGGTTGTGGATTTATCACCCTGGGCAACGTATACACAAGCGGCAAAAAAGTCTATCAACCTGCAGGTGATTCCTGACTTCAAAGTACCATGACCCCACTGTATGTTATATTCCACCACTTCCACAGTACTCATCTTACCTTTTTTTCTGCCTTTGTGTCTGTCTGTCTGTCTCTTTTAAACCAGTGAATCGTTATTCTGTTCCCTCTCTCGACTTTTGTGACTTTGATGTTCCTCCTCCCCTCTCTGAAGCCCGAAGTCAACCAAAGGGCTAATGAGAACCATCACCCAGCCTGTCATTTGATATAAATAAATAAATAATTGGGATAATAAAAAATGAGACACAAAATAATTTGCAAACATTTATCAAAAAGTTCAAAACATTTTTGGGTTATGACTCATTTTTGACCAGCAATTTTTCAGCCTTAATATATCAATATCGTTTCTGTAATTATTCACTCTTATTTTACTGAGAGACTTATCAGCTCCATATACCAAAGACCATTACAAAAACAGAAATATTTAGTTTACAATAGGGCTCAAATTTCAGGGTTTCCTCATTTCTGAAACACTCATGATACTTCATACTATGTTCCATATTACTCAGAACTCTGATCTGGCCTAATTATCAGTTTGTGTTTTCTTTGTCATTGGCTAGTAATCAGTCAAAGAACACAAAGCAGGCAACTTCATTTACAAAACACTACTTTAGCCACTGAGTCACTTCCTCTTTCAAATGCTAACAGGGATTTCTTCCTTTTCTAATAACCAATTCTTGGCCACTGTTTCCTTAGATAAAATTCAATAATTTATGCGAAAGGTAATTAATTTTCATTGTAACTCGTATTCTAATATGGGGATTAATCAATTAGTCTGATGTTAAAATGCCATCCTAATGAAAACGTCACGGAGAAATACAATAGGTTTCGGATGAGTTGTATTGATGAATTAGCGCATCTTTCGCCTTAGCGAAAATTCATTTTATTTCTAACATGAACTAAACTTTAACTGGTCCAGTTAAATTTAATCATTTTGCGAGAGTCAGTGTAATTCAAGTGAGTAACATTTTCATGGGTTTTGAAGACTTAATCAGACATATCGAAATCAATTTATCGAATAAGGGGTGTTGTCTAAGATCGTTAATCGATTTATAGCTGATTTTGACAATTGATGGCGATTCCTTTAATCAGGAAGCAGTTCACAATTGCCTGCATACTATTTTGTCCCTTATATTGGTTCTATTGATTGACCACACCATAGAAAGGCTATTTATTGATACTTTAGTCATCCAAATATAAGCAAATCGGGATTGGCTTTTGGATCGGGTTTAGTTTTTACAGGATTTAAGGTGAATACCTTATCGATGGGAAAAGTATTAAAGTTTTCGTGTTTGAAAGACATATTATACCGGTTGCATATCACAATCTATGTCAGTTTACAGCTCTGTAAGGCCTGATATCCAAAAGTTTAACATATAAACATCCACATTACCCAAATCTTACTAAGCACTCACCCCGATAGTCAATATCATAAACCTATTCCACCTTTTTGAAAATCTATTTGATTACCAATTTAGAAAAGACAAATTGTGGGTTAACTGAACCATACCCAAACACGTCACTTGATGCTGATTAATTGTACCACATGTAGTAGTAAAATGTAAGCAAAAGTTCAAAATGGTGTTCCAAAAAGACAATTTGAAGCGTTCTGTTTGAAAAAATTCAAATTAGCTAAACAATATTTATTTAGTTCAAAATAATGATGAATGTTACGTGTTCTTTAATTATTCTTTGGATTAAAGAATGAAATTGGCAAGCAATCGCGACCAGTGGAAAATTTTCACTTTGCTAAATAATAAAGTCACTGGGTTGGGTAAAATTTTATCAAAAAGATTTAAAAGTTTTTCATTTTAATTAACATTTCTTGATACATGTAATCATTAGTTACAGAAACATTGCTTCAATTGGGTCATTATAATGAAAGGATTATGATCAGTTCGCAATGCTTCCTCTGCATTTTGAAAAGGAACTAAATTTAATTGAGACTACAGAGCTGTTGTGGTCAGAAGTGAGCAAAATAACAGTCGAACCTATCTGATCCCTCATGCACAGTAGATTTTTTAGGAAATGTGCAACAACAAGAGTAGTGGAACTCCGCAACATCGAAGTTCTGCCATCGTCTTCATGGTAAAGATAATTTTATGCCTCTGACAGACATGACGCTGTCTAATCATGACGTATTCTAGGAACGAATAAAGTGAAGATGGAGTGCTCTCAGTAAGTCAAATGAACATTTGAGCATTGGAAAGGAACTGGGACTTTAGGTGACCAATTTGTCGTAAACACTTGCCAACACACTGTTCTATTCCCCCATTCCATTCTTTTACCCACTAAAAATTCTATCTCTTATTCTCAGACTGTGTGCTTGGTCGTAGAAAACCAATTTTAGTCCCGTTTGCAGAGAAGCTCTGCGCCTCTCATTTAGGCACGGCCGTTAAATGCCATCTAGATTCTAACCTAGATGATTACTATAGGAATCTTTTAATGGTTCCTGCGCTTATCATTCAGCAAGCATGTTAACTAATAAGGACATGTTGAATGATATAAAGAGAAGCTTGAAAAATAACTAGCCTTAATCAGGATAGCCCCATAACTATGCATATAAGCATACATATCTGGTACTGAAAGGAAATTGAAAATTGAGCAAATAGAGCATGGAACAAATGTTGACAAAATTCATATTTAAGAATAGATATGCTTATTTTCGTGATTTTATCGCCAAGGGCCTATGCGAAGTCTTATTGTTAATTACCTCACCAATAAAATAATTACCTTCTCGTAATAAGCATGCAGAATATTTTAAAAAAAACGACAAATACGGGGATTCATGCTCAATAAGCTAACTTAATAGGGACTTAGGTGAGAAAAAGAAGTTTAATTAAGTTATCATTTGAATATGAATGGTAGTGGGTTCAATATTCGCAGTTAGTTGACGATATTTGGAATACGATTTCACCAAAAATAAGGAAATGGTAGATTTTGAGTCAAATTTTACCTTCATTCAATGGACTAAGAGTGGCAAAGAAGATGAAGTTAACTTTGTTTCAAAGGACGTCGCTCAAGCGAAATAATTTAATTTTGAATTCAGGGGTAGTGAGGTGAAAGAACGTGATTAATTTCTTTAAATACATTAAATTACTGGAATATCCTCGCTTTATGATAATTTATACTGAGATTTAGATATGAAAACCAAAATTGTTTTGGATCAGTTTCAACTCTTCTGACATTTTAGTGTCCGACCTTCCAACCAAAATACAACTTCGTATAAAAACTAACAAGCGAAATTGCTGAAAATATTATTATTCAACTAACTAACTGTATTACAGCACCCAAAATAAGAGAAAACAAGTTTCGTGGTTCCAAGTTTTAACCCGATTTGAAAATATATTTGCAAAGTATCTTGTAAAGCATGAAATTGAATTTACACAACTTATCAATAAAGCTTAATGTGCCATGATGCAGAAATTTTAAAGAATTCTGTACTTTGATAATAAGCAAAATACTAGAAATGTACTTATTTGGGGGGGGGGATAGACTTTAATTCACTCATGTTTAAGCACAAAATTTCTTATTTATTTTGGGTAATATTGGTACTTTGGCTTTAGATAATTTAATTTACAAATTACTATCATTTTATATATTTATATTAAAATTTATTTATTTTTATCAAATGGAAAG